CATCATCCGTCTCCCTCCTTCATCATCCTTCTTGATTCCTTCATTCATCGATCCTCTTGGCACCCCGACGCGGGGCCGGAGTTTACATTCCGCGAGGCGGGTCACGGACCCCGCTCCCCGACTCTGTGGTGCTCTCGGCTGGGCAAGCAGTTTGAGGGGCAACGATAGGGGTGACTGGCACAAGGGGGGGTGCATCGACCCGGAATCGGTGTCACATCGCCCATAAATCGCGATAGGCCTCCGGTGGTGAACCCGCACCTTCCTGGGCATGCTGGGGCCATCGGGCCCCCATCGGCGAACACTGGGCGATTGGGGGTCGATGTATCACCCCCTTATGCCCATCCCCCCCATCGTTGCCCCCCACAGTTGGGGCCCACCCTCGGGGGTGCACTGCGGGGGGGGGGGGGCATCCTCGAAGCGGGGTGTGCGCCCCCGTGGCCCTCTCGGAGGTGCATGCCCGTGTTCCCCCTTCTGCTCGGAGCGGCCCGTGTTGGGTCGGAGGGGAGCTCGGGGCTCGGGGGAGGGAACTCGGGACGCACTACTGCACACTGGTACGATGTGTTTCTGGTGGAGACGCACATCCTACCCAGGCATTGGAAGTCACAAGCCGGGCGCCACGCAACGGCGCAGCGGCATGGAATCGACGCGAGCACGACTGGCTCACGTGTAAAAATCGCGCGACAGCCTGTGCACTTGCCAAACGCAAGCGCCAGGACCAGACGAGGAAGGGAGGGGAGGGAGGGGGAGGGGAGAGGAGAGAGACAACGCTACTGCAATTAACACATGCTGGAAAACAGAAGTAGCCCACTGCAATCTCGGGCGCCCGCGACTACGATGATGATGCCAATGTTTTGGATTCCGCCCCCCCATGTTCGCAGCGGTGGGTTGTCGGGTGGGTGCCGGGTTGGCATTACTACCATTCGACTAATGTCAGCCGCGAGCGACATTAAGTCGAGGCGTTCGGCGGAGGGCCAGACGAGTTTGGGAAGGGTTGTCGTCGCCTTGGGGGGAAACCAGACCCTAGCATTAGGTCGGGCGTGTCCCCCTACAGGGGGATGCTGGGCGAAAAATAAAAAGCAAAAAAAAAACTCCAAAAATGATCAAAAATAATCAAAGAAATATCGTCCCCCGGCTATTTTTGAACCATTTTTGAATGCTCCTCCTGTAGAGGGACCGGCCCGACTTCACCCGGGCAAGCCCTGGGCTTTCCAAGTGTGGCATCCGAGCAGCAGGGGGGGGTTGGCGCCCCCGCGCTCGCGCCCGGGGGGACGGCCGCCCGCCCCGCAAATAGGGGGCGGCCGCCGGGCGCGCGAGCGCGGCAGGGGGCGCCCGAGGGCGCTGCGCAAGCAGGTGGGGAGGAGGAGGAGGAGGTTGACGAGCAGTCAGAAGAATCGAACAGGAGGAGGAGGAGGAGGAGGAGGAGGAGGTTGACGAGCGGAGGAGGTTGACGAGCAGGAGGAGGAGGAGGATGACGAGGAGGAGGAGGAGGAGGAGGAGGAGGAGGAGGAGGAGGAGGAGGTTGACTCTGCCTCGCTCTACCCATCAAAGAGCGACGGCAGGCGGCCGCGCATTCGCACGAAGGAGGCTCCGCCTCTGCCCCCTGCTCCCGCTGCTGCTGCTGCTGCTGCTGCCCTCCATTGCGCTACACTGCTGGCGGGCTGCCCTCTGGAGGCACTCAGTGGACTCAGGGGGGCCCAAAACAATGCTCTTCCCCTTCTCAGTCCGTGGACGCCGCCCCTTCAACATCCGGCTCCAGCGGTGCTGCTGGACCACAAGAAACCTTCCACAAGAAACACCACCCACCCTGAGACCCCAGGGCGCCCTCTGACTGTTCGGTGTGGGAGCGTCGGGCCTTTCCATGGCGGAAGCACTGGAGCCCAAGAAAGCCAGGGCACCCTTGGGCGGCGTGGGAGCGTGCGGCGTTCCCGCCGATGTCAAGCAGGCGCCATCCCTCGCGACTCCCTCTCGAGGGCTCGTGGCTGGAGCAGGCGGACGACAATCAGTAAGTGCGAGCTGCATGCGACATGCCCGAGGCACCGTGCGCAGTGCCGCTCGCCAAGTGTAAAGGAAGGAGAAGGAGGAGGAGGAGGAGGAGGAGGAGGAGGAGGAGAAGGCAGGAGTCTGGGCAGGAGGAGGAGGAGGAGGAGGAGGAGGAGGAGGACGAGGAGGAGGAAGAGGAGGAGGAGGAGGAGGAGGAGGGAGGGAGGGAGGAGGCAGGAGGCCCGGGCTCCGGGTGCGCGTCCAGTCGCGCAGACAGGCGGAGCCGCTCCGGTGGCGCCTCCGCGGGCGGCGCCGTGGCAGGCGGCCTCGAGCCGGGAGCTGGGGCGGAGGCGGGGAAGCATGCGCAGAGGGCACCCCAACCCCTCCTCCTCCTCCTCCTCCTCCTCCTCCTCCTCCTCCTCCTCCTCCTCCCCCTCCTCCTCCTCCCCCTATTCCTCCTCCTCGGGAGCGAGGGCGGCGAACGGAGGAGGCTGTCTTCGGGGGAAACCTAGAAGACTTCTCAGGAAGCCGGGGGACTGACTGAAGGCATGCCCCCTCTCGCTTCCTGCCCTCGCTCGCCGCCGGCAAGACACCACCGCCGCTGAGATGAGATCCGGGCGCTGCGATCTGTGCCCCGCTCTGCGCAGTCGCCCAATTTCGGGCCCTGGGCTGGACCTGCATGATTCCTCTCCACGGCTGCCGGGCAGACATCCTCGCAGCAACTGGTTGCAGCTTGTGCCATTCAGAGCCCGAATACCACCGAGGATCTACTGAGCCGGGTCAATCCAGACCGGCTGGTCAGGCTGTGCAAGATCCAGCGCGATCCTGCTGGACCCTCCACCCAAACCCGGGTCAGCGCGACCCAGACGCTGCAGGATCCAGCAAAATCCGGCGCTCTGACTGACCCCCGTCTGTCTGCATTGACCCCCGTCTCTTGAGCCCCGACTGTGATCTCCAGGGTGCCTTCCGCGAATCTCCTGGGGCCTGCGGGCACCTTCTGGAGACGTCCCCACAACTGGAGGGAGGGAGAGGGGCCCCGGAGCAACGAAGATCGGCACCATCACCACCACCGCCTGAAGCCTGGGACGGCGAAGGTCCTCCACGGTGGTGTGGTCCACCTGTTTGGGGGCGCTCTGACTGACGTGCTCCCCCTGTCTCTGGAGCCCCGAGGACAGCAGGCAGCTGCGCGCACCGGCGCGCCCTCGCGCGCTCCTCCCGGGCGACGGCCCCCCGCGCGTGTCCGCTGGCGTCCGCGCGCGGGCCATCACGAATCGAGCCGACTCGAAGAGTGCCGCAGGAAGACGAGGTCCAGACGTGCAGTGAGGACGACCGGGCGTGCGAAACGATGGATGGACGATCATCGCACGTGTTCTTTCTTCGCGCCACCATGGACACCTGAGTTGCTGCGGGGGGCGAGCGCTGCCAGCAAGAGGTGGCGGCGACGCAGAGGAGGCGGGACGGGTGGCAAGGGCGCGAGACCCCCGGAGAGGCCGGCGCGGGGGCTTCTCGGGCGGAGCGCGGCCCAAAGCCCCCGGGGGCGCAAGGCTACCCTGACCCAGGGAGAGGCCGGCGAAAGCGGCAGAGGTCGGGCCGCAGAGGCAGGGGCACACGAGTCGAAGAAGAAGAAGAAGAAGAAGAAAGAACGCTGTGAACATGAACTTTTGGCGCTCCGCGCGGATGTCTTGGGTCCGCGCTGGGCCCCTGGCGCCGCCCTGGGGGGCCCAGCGCGGATCCAAGAGATCCGCGCGGCGCGCCCACAGTGCAGGTGTATAGCGTCTTGCCTTCTTCGAGCATGGGCACCCTGGACGAAGGCGCGCGTCCTTGCTGGGCGCGAGGGCTGCAGGGTCTCGGGCTCTGGCCGGGATGCTTCGCGCTGCTGCACTCCTGTCGCGGCGTCGGCTCTCCAGGACTGGACGCACCTGGCCTCGGGGACCTTCTGACCCGGGTCCATCCAGTAGGGGGGCACATGCGAGCCCTACCCCTACCCCCCACGACTTCTGAGGGGGAGGGTGGGGTTCACTTCGCTCGGGAGCTCCCGAACGAAATGAACCCCACCCTCCCCCTCAGAAATCGTGGGGGGTAGGGGTAGGGCTCGCATGTGGCCCCCTATCCAGACCCGGGTCGGCAGGCAACCAAAAAACTGCAACGCAGGAGAAAAACAAAAACAACAAGAAAAAACTGCAACGCAGGTCTTCGCAAACCCGGGTCAGCCGATATGCGCGGCCACCTCGCGGCCACGAGCGGCTCGCGAACCCAGGTCAGCCAGAGGGGGTCTTCGCAGGATCCTGCAGGATCCGGTGCCCTGGCTGACCGTCCCCCGTCTGCATTGACCGCCGTCGCTGGCCGGGGCCATCCTGGGCCCCGTCACGGTGCACCAGAAGGCGAGGCAACAGCCTGCACGGCCACAGAGTCTCGGAGCTCCGCGCGGGTTTCCTCGGAGCGGCCCCCTTGGCAGGCGCCACCGCTGGCTTGTTGCGCGGCGGGCTGGCACTTTTGGCAGACCGAGCCCTGGGGGCGCCTGAAGGATGCAACGCCTCCTCTCTCTCTACAATTACTCAATATGAATACTACTCTCCCTCTTCCCCTGATGGCGTCCTGGGAGTAGCCGACCCCCCCCCGCGTCCTGCTTTTTTACACACAGGATTCCCGGGAGTTGGGTTTTCGCCTGCATTTTACCTAACAGCGAAGACTGATAGGTTTCTAATGGGGTCAAAAGAGAGCATCTGATGACTCCCCATGGGGTCTGGGCGGGAGCCGGACAGGCGAGGACCGGGCTCGTTTCAAGCAAACAGTCACACACTTCGTGCTCTTCGACCTCCCAGAACTCCATTCCCGGGCCACATTTTGAATGCCCGGAGCCAACTGTAGGCCACTTCGTGCTCTTCGACTTCCCAGAACTCCATTCCCGGGCCACATTTTGGATGCCCGGAGCCAACTGTAGGCCACTTCGTGGTCTTCGAGTTCCCAGAACTCCATTCCTGGGCATGATTTTGAATGCCCGGAGCCAACTGTAGGCCACT